TTGCCTACCCTGTCTCGAAAACCTGTGCACGCCACTGCCGTTGATAGGTTTCGAACCCGCCCCGATCATGCATGAGAAGCGGGCGTCTTAATTCTAGATAAGAATTAAGGATATTTAAATTTATTAAGCTTGTTATAAAACTGTGCTTGACTTTAACAAATAAAATAACAATGAATATAACATTCGACACTCAAAATTAAATAATTACACGAAGATTTTATACTAAAAAAAAATGAACCCGATATCAACAAGACAGATACAACTAAATCATTATTTCTTGGTTTTGATAAGCTTAGTAGAGTGAGGCGAGAAAATATTATCTTTTCTAGAAGAAAAACGGGAACGGAAGCGGCGGAACGTAGGAAATCGAGTGCTATACACAGCTTTATTTATTTTAACGTCATGTCTTCTATATCCGGAAAACAATCGTACCATCTACTGATAGTGTACTACTTACCAATACTGTTACAGAAATAATTTTTGTCCATTTGTTTGTATTAAGTTGGCACGAAATTAATGCTTAGTATCCCAACTGCATCCAGCAGTTGGAGCTAAAGACTTAGTTGTCCTTAAGACTTAGCAGGCGTCCATCACGATCTGTCTTGAGCTTCATCGAAACTAATATATTTTTTACTAGCTGACCCGGCAAACTTCGTCTCGCCTCAATTTTTTTCTCACCTTCTAAACCTTCCCTGGACTTCCACGAACATTTCAAGACCAAAATTAACCAAATCAGTTCAGCCGTTCTCGAGTTTTAGCTATACTAACGAACAGAAATTCATTTTTATTTAATATATAGATAGAATAAGCCGTCAAACGAGCAGAAGGATCACCTGATGGTAAGCAATCGTCGTCGCCCATGGTCACTTGAAACACCAGAGGCGTTACAAGTGCGTTTCCGGCCTTTTGAGAATTGGGAACTAGAGGATTGTGGGGACGTCGAACATTGGGGAGACTGGGGAGGGGGTGGATTGGGCCTCCGGTTACCTCATTCAAATGACGAAACACAAGTTTTCTGCGAGGACGTGGTATCGCTCCGGTCGAGCCGGCCCATTCGTGCCGAAGCATGGTTCTCCCATAATTAAAAGAAATAAGATTTAAAAAGCCTAACTTACCCCTACCCGGGTAATAAGCAATCGGCGTCGCCCATGGACACCTGGAACACTAGAGGCCTTACTCGGAGGAGGAGTTTGAGGATCGTTGGGGATTCAGGGATTGGGGAGATTGGGGAAGGGGAAGGTAATTGGGCCTCCGGTAACCTCACTCACACGACGAAACACAACGCAAGCGTTGCTGCTTCACGTCGGTTTTCTGTGAGGCTGTGGTACCATTCCGGTCGAGCCGGCTCATTCGTACCGAAGCATTGCCATGCTTCGGCACGAATGAGCCGGCTCGACCACTTTGGTAATACCTATTAATTGTCAGGTAGTAATTGTAGGTAACCTTTTATATTTATTATGACTGTAAAAATCCTATCGGATCGAATATAAAAGTTATATTAATCATAAAAATGAAATATTAATCATAAAAAAAAATATCTTACATGCGAACAAATCGGCTAGTGGAAAGTTGGTTTTACAAGCAATATAAATGAGAAACTTTGTGAGGTTTTATGGATATATGGATACATATTACAACACAAACAAATACTATTGAACAGATCTAAATTAAATTTAATAAATATAAATAAAAATGTAAATGTCTTAAATATCACGGCGGGCGGTTTATTATCCTCTGAAGACAAGTGAAGCCATCGGCCCTAGCTAGTCTATTATATCCGGAAACAATCGAAGCATCTACTGATAGTGTTCTAATATATAGTTTCTGTACTCTCGATTATTAAGATAAATATCGAGCATCGTTCGTTACTTGTACGGCAAAATCGTTTTCTTAGCGATTTTTTGCGATTGATTTATATCGATGCAGTGTCATGATTTAGTATAGGAAGGAGTGTTAAGAATTATTAGCGATCGTGAGATATGTGGATTATTGTGTTTTTATTGTTTTGTTGGCAAGTCTTTTTATTTATTACTAGCTGTTACCCGCGACTTCGTTCGCGTGAAATTATTAATATATTATTTCTTGTTAATCTATACTTTTTTGACTCGACGTGTTGAGATTGGCGATGAGTATTTGAGAGCTAGTATTAAACGGAAAGTTTATTGTCTACTTAATATGGCGACTGCGGTTTGTCTGTCAGTGTCATTAGAATGAATTAGTAAAACGAAATAATCTCCGTAATCCGAATTTTGCGGATATAAGTTGTCGACTCGAAATCGATATTTTTTTTCGTATCAAGTAATTTTTCTATCGATCTATAGGTATTTTATTAAATTTCGATCGAGTCTACCGTAACCCTTGAAGAATTTATTAATATAGAGATGTCGTGGTGACCCGGAGCTTGAAGACGCCCACTTCTCATGCATGAGGGTGCGAGTTCAAAATCTACCAACGGCAAGTATCAATGTGACTTTTTCCGAGTTATATGTACTTTCTAATAATATTTAGACACCACTGACAAACGGTGCAGGAAAACATCGTGAGGAAACCTGGACTTATAATTTCTAATTATAAGTTTGTAATCGCCAACCCGCATTAAGCAAGCGTGGTGATTAATGCTCAAACCTTGTCCGTGTGAGAAGAGGCTTTGGCCAGCAGTGGGCATTTATAGGCTGTTGATGATTTTTATTTATTGTTATTATGTTGGCTAAAAATATAAATCAGTTAGCCATACAACTGTTTGTATGGCTAACTGATTTATATTGTGGTAGGTATTGGTGGTGGTGTGTAGGTATTGGTCCTGGTTATAAATTGACAACTAAGTAAAACATTATAGATACGACAAGCCCCGCATAGCGTAGTCAGTTTCGCCAAATACAGTAAAAAAAGGAATTATTAAAGGCCCAATAGAAATCAATCTTCATACTACCTAACAAAAAAGAGAAAATGTCCGAACAAATCTCATTTATAAGAAATCTAATAAGCGTATCTAATTTGTATGGCGAGACAACGGAATCGTTGGTAAGTGACATCCGTCGCGATGTCAATTAGGCTGCCCTCAGACGGCTAGTAAGGAGGCGTGTGTGCAGAGTAATTAGTGTAGTCTGCGGCTACATCGTCTGCAATAAGCCTTAGGTATCAGCTCTACGGATCGGTGTGAGAATGTTGAATCAGTTCTACTTAAGACTTTACAAGTCTTTTATTTACTTTCCTTGTTGTGGAGATTGAAGTTTGTGTAGTTTATTTGTTTCGTTAAAAATTGTTTGTTTTTTTACCATTTAAGTACATAAACTACGATAATTTCAAATGCATAAGACAATACCTATATTATTTATGAATTATGATATACGTGTCTAGTAGAAGTTTTCTTATTGCTAAAGAACTACAGAGGCTTTATCTGACTTACTGCGGTACTTAAACATACATATAATATGTACTACATATTGCACAAAATCAAGTCCAACATTTTGTTGATCAATTTTTATAACAACTATCATGAGACACCCTGAACTAATGAAATAGCGTATTACTCATGTTAATAATAACATGAATAACTTTTTCTCAGTACGTACTGAGAAAAGCTCTACTAATTTCGACCCACATAGGGGCGTTACCTCGTGAGTAGCGTGTGCGGTCTCGGTGATACTTGAGTAGACTGCACGAAATCGCCTAGTAGACCTTTTCTCAACTAACTCGCGATTTTCAGTTGACCATTATTTGACCATTATTAGATAGCAACTATGTATAAATAATATATAAATAAAAAGCTTTTAATTCTACTTCAAACTAATTAGGTAAGTACGAGTACCTAGTAACATAACATACTTAATAGGGTTGTCAC